CAGAAGTGGCGCTGTGGCTCAAGTGGTAGAGTGTTAGCCTTGAGCTGAAGAGCTGAGGGACAGCGCCCAGGCCCAGAGTTCAGGCCCCACGACCGCACCCCCCCAAAAAAAATATATATCTTTAAGCAATCGTACAAAGGAGTCTCAATTTAACATTAGCTGAAGATCACTCTAAAATATTCCCATCGGAATAGATTAAAATACATTTCCTTAACAGACAGGATATTCAAAACTTCTGATTTAGGCGTTTTGATTTTGGATGTTTTGTTTCATGGAATGGATGTTAGCCTCAGAGATTTAGGGGTTCAATATGTGAGCCCTTGGGTTCAATCCTCAGCAATGTAAAGAAACAAAAAAGAAAACCATACCAGCCAAACAATAAATAAAAACTAGTCAAGAAAACACAGAGGAAAAAAAAAGAAACCCCAAAGAAAGCTTTCCCTTAGCAAGCGAAGTTGCTGGATACACAGTGAGGTTTCTGAGGGCAGATACTGCTTTTGTGGACTGATGCCTACAGGTGTTTCAAGGGAAATAATTTTGTGGCACTTAGTGAACTTTCTCTTCCAAAGACTAGAAAATAGTCTTAGCCTGGTTCTCCCTCCCATCCCACAGTGCATTCCTTTGCTTTACATTACTTCATGAAGTGATGATTATTTTTCTTTGGTTTTAGTGTAGGAATTGGCAAAATGGCCAGAAATGGCCTTTCAGGACTCCAAGGCACCCCCACAAGGCATAAACACAGGGCAGAGCTATAAAACACACTTTTACCTATCAAAGAATGACATGTTTTGAGGTGAACAAGAAAGTAGACATTCTTAGTAGAGGATACCATTTTCTCTTTCCTGCCCAAATGCTATCCACATGTTTGGGTGGGGGTGGGGTGTGGGAGGGGGTCAGTATAAACTCCATTACTTTGCTTGCACTGTGTAGGGCTCTCAGAATATAATCTACACAGAGGATGACTGGGTGTAAGAACAGGGAGGGAATGTGAGTGTGGAGGCTGAAGGCAGCCAGAAAAGGAGCTGAAGGTAAGACAAGCCCTCAGGCACTTCCTCTATTGTGGACAGAAGCCCCACACCAAAACAAAAACCAACACTGGTAGGAACAAAGTCTCCTTTCCAGAGACTCTGCGCTGATGAAACATTCCCTAGATCTCAAATGTAATTTTAGTTTTCAGTTCCTGAACTTGATTAAAATAGCCTGTGAAACTTTGCTCAACGTGCAGGTACTTCATGGGTGCAAAGACTGTTAGGAAGGATAAGTTCTAGAGGTTTATTGCACAGAATGGTGACTGTAATTAAGAATAATGGCCCAGAGGGTGGCTCACATCTGCAATCCTGTGTTTCAAGGCCAGTCCTAGAAGGCTAAGAAGACCCTCACCTCAACAAAACGTTAGGCATGGGAGGGCCTAACTAGCAATGTGGCAGGCATAGGAAGGAAGACTGAAATCTGAGGCTGGGCAAAGGCGGCTCAGTGGTAGAGTGCTTGCCTTGCACGCATAAGGCCCTAGGTTCGATTCCTCAGCACCACATAAGCAGAAAAAGCTGGAAGTGGTGCTGTGGCTCAAGTGGTAGAGCGCTCGCCTTGAGCTGAAGAGCTGAGAGACAGCACCCAGGCCCCTCATGACCGACAAAAAAAAAAAAAAAAGAAATGCCACTTGAAAAATAGCTAAAACAAAGAGTGCCGTGGGTATGGCTCAAGTGGCAGCATGCCTGACTAGCAAGCATGAGGTCACTACTGTCAATACTGCCTAAAAGAAAGAAAAATAAGAAATATGCCTGAAAAATCACTGAGAGTACATTTTATCTTAATTATTTTTATTAGCATATATTAATTGTACAAAAGGTTTCATTGTGGTGTTTTCTTACCTCCTTCCCTCCCTCCCTCCTCTTCCTTTCCTTTCTCCCTTCCTCTCTGGTTCTGGTCCTAGGGCTTGAACTCAGGGCCTGAGTGCTGTCCCTGAGCAGTATTGCCTAAGGCTAATGCTCTACCACTTGAGCTGAAGCTCCACTTCTAGTGTTTTGGTGGCTAATTAGAGATAAGAGTTTTGTGTTCTTTCTGGTTCAGGCTGGCTGTGAACTGCAGTTCTCAGACCTCAACCTCCTGAGTAGCTAGATTATAGACGTGGATCACTGGAGCCTGGCAGTCAAGCATTTGTCTTAATGGTAATAGCTCTTTTAATATGGCTCTTAAGGGCTTTATGACAGCTCTTGTCATTATGACACAGATGGTCAATGGACCAAAAAGCCATCTAGTTGGCTCAGCAAAAGTACTATGAGGCCATATGCTGAACAGAGCCCTGGAGATCTCCAACCAAGCCTGCTCATCAGAAACCCAGAAGTGACAATTGACAAAAGGAATCGAGAGTAATGTTGAGTAGCGTTTTTGTAGATAAACAGAGAAGACATCTAGAGGTCCCTAAAAATGACTGCTTAGCTTCAAGCTCACTTTGCAATATATATTAAAAATAAACTGACTGGGTACTGAGCCCTAAAAGCCAAAGTATGTTATGAATAGGGTTATTATAAAGGCCAGAGGGGACCCTAAAGCAATGGATTCAAATGCTTTCTCTAACAGGGAATCAACGGAACCCAAGGAGCCAGGCTAGCCCTCTATCAGAAGGTACCTTAAAATAGTCAATAAGTGCTTTTGAATACTTCACAGCATGGTCCCTTTTGAGTCGAAACATCCGCCAGTAGAGGAGAGCCAGACATCGGTAACTGTAACAGAAGAGGAAAAATGAGCAAGACAGAAAAGTGTGTCTTTCATAAGCTTGTTATTCTAGAGTACTAGCTACTTGTTGTGTACATCGACACCATATTTATGTATTTCATTGAACATATGTCAGTGAGTATCTGATATTCCTTTTTTTCAAAAATGTACTCCAAAATTCCGAGGAAGTACTCCCTAAATACACATACCACTAGATTATTGTGCAGTAGCTCCAAGGCTTCTTTGTTGGGAACAGGTCTGGCTGCTTTCTTTGTCTACCACTAGAGGGCAGTCTCTGTCCACCAGAGGCATGAGGAAGCTGGAGCACATAGCTTCCACTGCTTCCTGGGGAAGCTACTGGATTTGCTCATAGCACAGACACTTTACTAGTCTATAATTATCTCAATGAAAGTGCATTATAAGTACTAACAACACTATGCTGAGAATAGTTTCATTAAGTTATTTTCTACATCATTTACATGTTTGTATTCTAGTAGAATACTCATTACTGTCATTTACTTATTCTAACATGATACTTCAGTAAAGACAATGGCACAGGTAGCATTTCCTGAGACTCATCCTCACTTCCTTGGCCCTTCTTACTCATAATTACTCATAATTATTAACTGAGTGAGATCTGGGTGACATGTTGGCATATCAACGTACGAAACACAACTTAATAGTCTGCTCTTAACTCTCCAGGTTCCAGCTGCTGTGGCACGTGAAACAACCCCAGATGCTTCTCTTTGGTCTTTGTTATATTTTTTGAGACTCCATTTGACTCTTCAATTAACAGATTAGATTCTAGAACTCACTGAACCTTCAGAGAGCAAAAAGTTTCAGATATCTTTGACAGGTAGAACCAATAGCAAGGTGTCTTTGTGTTTTGGAGAGGGTTGAGGTGATTCAAAGAAATACCATTGCGAATAACTGTTACCAATGTAATCATTATAAGCCGCAGGAAAAAAAATATATATTGGCTAACATTAACAAAAACATTGTATTATCCAAGTATAAGCAAGCTCTTCTTGGTTTAATGTATGGAGAACATAGTGAGTCATCTGTTTTCATTCCTAGGAATCTACCAGTTAAGCAACATATGAGTTATTTAGATTGCATCTCAACTGTTACACACAGTAAAAATTCCATTTGGCACAACTCCCATTCAAATGACTTTAACTGGGACCTACCTGATTTTAAAACACAGGCACACATACAGGAACAACAACAACAACAACAACAACAAACTATCCCTGTATAACCAACCTGTCAGTTTTCAACCACTGTGAATTCTGTTCATGTGTGGCACTGCGGCAAAAATGGCCTAGATTGTTGCTGGCTGTTAGAACTACACAGAGCTTTGTAAGTTAGAAATACCAGGAAAACAGCCTGCATTTCAGCACCTGGCTGGCCAGTGACTCAGAGGCATGGTTACTCTCATGAGCTGGGAGGTTACACTCACCACAATGCAGCTAGTTGTTTGTCCTCAGGAGTGGCATTGGGGCCTGAGTGAGTTTTCAGTCTCATAGCATACCTGAAAAAACAAAACAACAGAGGAGTTTTAAAAAATGCTGTGTGTGTGTGTGTGTGTGTGTGTGTGTTTCGAGTACTGGGGTTTGAACTCAGCCTTGTGATCTCCCTCCAGTTTTTCACTCATGCTGGAGCTCTACCACTTGAGCCAGGACTTCAGTTCTGTTTTTGTTTTTTTGCTGGTTAATTGGAGATGAAGTCTCATGGACTTTACTGCTCAGGCTGGCTTCAAACTGAGATCCTTCAAGGTCTCAGGCTCTTGAATAGTTAGGATTACAGGCATGAACTTTCAGAACCTGACCTCTTATTTATTATTTTTTTAAAAAGATGTTGATAATTCTCATTCTTTCTGTGCCTATTGTCTCTCTCCCTCAAGTACCGTACTGGGGATTGAATCCAGGGCCTTATATAAGCAATCCGCCTCATGAGTCACACCTTTAGCTCCCCCGACCCCCTGCACCCCCCAACATGTTTTCTGTTGGTCATGGGGCTTCAACTCAGACCTCTGGTCCTCAGAGCCCCTCTGGTACTGGGGTTTGAACTCTGGACCTGGGTGCTGTGTCTGAGCTTCTTTTGCTCAAGGTGAGCACTCTACCACTTGAATCACAGCACTACTTCTGGTTCTTTTGAGTAGATTATTGGAGATAAGAGTCTCACGGAGTGTCCTGCCCAGGCTGGCTTTGAACCAAGAATCTTAGGCTCCTAAGGAACTAGGATTACAGGTGTCCACCAGTGCCTTGCTTGTATTTAGGTTTTGAGATAGGGTCTCACTAACTTGGTCTGGGCTAGCCTTGAAGTCATGATTCTCCTGCCTCTGCCACCCCTGTAGCTAGGATTACAGGTGTGTACTACCACACCTGGCTGATTATTCTTTCTAAAAAGCTACCTGATGTCATTCTATTTTCCTCAGCCATGACACTATCAATATGACAAGAATAAAATGACTTTCTTCTCTTTAAATAACAGAAGTTCAAATGCTAAAGATTGTCAGGAGTGATCCGAACCCAAGAACTATTTGAGTATATGATAACATGTCCAATTTTCTAAAATTTTGATTTATGTCCAAGAGGCTGACAGATGGAGGCAAAGTTCAATTCTTCTAGAGATTTCCACCTGTGGGCTCAGACAGATGCTCCATTTACTGCTCTGTTCTGTAACACTTACTCTGAGGGCAGCTTAAGTGATTGCCATATTTTTTTTTTGTCCATTGTGGGGCTTGAACTCTGGGCCTGCGCGCTGTCCCTGAGCTCTTTAGCTCAAGGTGAGCGTTCTACCACTTGAGCCACAGAGCCACTTCTGGTTTTCTGGTGGTTAACTGGAGATGAGAGTCTTACAGACTTTTCTGCCCGGGCTGGCTTTGAACCATGATCCTCAGATCTCAGCCTCCTGAGTAGCTAGGATTACAGGCGTGAGTCACCAATGCACAGCGTTCTGCATACATTTTGAATCTCTCTATATATTTTCTTCAGACCTGGATAATGAGGAACTAGGGGCTTTTAGGGACTGCATTTAATTCTGTTTACTTCTTTGAGCTAGGGGGACTGAGGCCCCTGCTTTTTCCTACTAGGTCTTCTATGAGCTGATTCAGTGTGCAATGGCTAGAGGGTTCTAGGTTCAAATCCTAGCTTAGCATACTTATTAGTATGAGAGTTTAGGTAAATGTATTAACAAGTCCAAGCCCTTATTTAATTATCTGTAAAATAAGAACAGCACTGGAATTACCTAGTCTTGTTGTACAGATTATCTCAGAGAATTTTATAAAAACTAAAACTAAATGTTGAAAAACGAACTTTACAACTTTGGTGGGGGGGCAGGGAGGGGGGTGGGAGCAAGATATGGGAAGGGATAGGAAGAGGAAACAAAGGAGGAGGCAACAATGCTTGATAAGAAATGTACTCATTGGGGCTGGGAAGGTGGCTCAGTGGTAGAGCGCATGCCTTGCATGCCAGAGGCCCTGGGTTCGATTCCTCAGCACCACATGAGCAAAAAGAAAAAAGCCGGAAGTAGCGCTGTGGCTCAAGTGGTAGAGTGCTAGCCTTGAGCTGAAGAGCTGAGGGACAGTGCCCAGGCCCAGAGTTCAGGCCCCATGACCGGACCCAAAAAAAAAAAAAAAAAGAAATGTACTCATTATCTTGCCCATGTAATTGTAACTCCTCTGTACGGTATTTTCATAATAAAAATAAAAAAAACACTAAAATAAGATAATTTTGGCTTCATGCAAATTGCTTGATTTAAGTACCATTTATCATTCTTAATTCTGCAGTGTACAGATCTGTAGGTTTTAAAGTGTATCTCTCTGTACATACATGTATGTATATGTTATGTGTCTCTAGAACAGTGATTTAACAAACGACTGATCAACATGTTACCACTTTGAGTGAAGTGTAGAAACCCTGACCACTTTTAAATGACACTACATTGGTAATCAAATGGTGGTATAATTGTTATTTCATTCATCATATATGATTTATAAAACTCAAGAGGTGGGTCATTTCTTATATGTATTTATATTACTGTTCTTTCTACTTTGATGCTCTGAGCTCCTTCTTCTGACATTTCCTTTAATTGAGGAAGTTTCTACAGGTGCCAGTCTCTAAGAGGGAGTCTGTTAGAGACAGATACTGAGAATATTTTTATTTCTCTTCATTCTTGGACAATAGTTCTGCCAAATCCACAGTCCATTGCGTGACAGGCCATTCTTTCACACTTGGGAAATGCCACACCACCCACTTCTGGCCTCTACAGTTTCAGAGAAGTCTGTGGTCATTTAAATCAGTGAGTTCTCATTGGCAACGTGCCCTATCTCCTTGGCAGCTTTCAGGAATTTTGTTCTGTGTTTGTTTTTCAGAAGTGTAGTCAGGATATGTTCTAGCATAGGTTTCTTTAGATTTATCCTATCTGTTTTTTCTTGGCTTCTTGAATCTGTAGGTTTATGTCTGATTTAATAATAAATTTCAGCTGTCATTTTTTTTGAATATTCTCTTTGTCTACTATTTTTCTTCCAGTCCTGGGTTTCCAATGACATAAAAATTGTATCTTTTGTTACTGTGTTTGCAGTGGTTTGAATGTGGCCCTCAATATCTTGGAAGCTCAGCATACAACATAACAATATTTGGTAGTGGGAAGTTTAAAGTAGCTTTCTTCTCCTAATGAATTAATGCTATTATTGTGGGCATACATTAGTTATTCAATGAGTGGGTCTTGATGAAAAGGATGAGTGTGTAGCAACTTTCTCTCTGTTCTTGCTTGCCTTTCCTCCAAGTTTTTGGGTTTTTTTTTTGGCCAGTCCTGGGGCTTGAACTCAGGGCCTGGGCACTGTGCCTGAGCTTCTTTTGCTCAAGGCTAGTACTCTACCACTTGAGCCTCGGCGCCACTTCTGGCTTCTTCTGTTTAAGTGGTACTAAGGAATTGAACCCAGGGTTTCATGAATGCTAGGCAAGCACTGTACCACTAAGCCAGCCACATTCCCAGCCCAACCTTTCCTCCATGTTTTGATGTAGCATGAAAGCCTTCACCAGAGGCCAGCAAATGCTCTTGAACTTCCAGCCTCCAGAACTAAGGATCAAATTTCTATTGCTTATCATTTACCCAATCTGTGATATTTTGTTATAGCAGCAAAAAGCAGACTAAGGTGATGTTGGAGCATCTATTCTTTCTTTTTAGCCTCTTTCCTCTGTTATTCAGATCAGGTAAATTCTACTTTCTGTTCTCAACTTTGTTGATTTCACCTTCTTTATTTCTATTCCTTACTGAGTACAGCAGTGATTTTGTTTTGTTTCTGTTATCTTTTTCAGTTTTATAATTTCCATTTGGGTCTTTAAGAAAGACTTTCCCATCTTTGGCAAGATTATCTCTATTTTTGTGTGTCTTGTAAGAGGAAAGTAATTGTCTATTGGGGGCATTTTTGTAATGGTTGCTTCAAAATCCTTGTCAGAAAATTCCAATGCCTGATTCATCTTGGAATCAGGTGATTCTGTTATATTTCATTCCAGGTGTGATTTTCCTGGTTCAAGGTTTGGTGAGTTTCTATTAAGCTCTGGACATTCTGGTTCTTTGTGTTAGGGGTTTCTGGTTCTTTTTTTTAATTTTATTTTCATGTAAAGATGTGGTAAGAGTTCTGGTTCTTATTCAAATCTCTTCTGTTAGCAAACATTCACTCTACTTGGGCTTAGCGGGCAGATCTAGTTTTGGGCTACTTTGGGGCTGTAATAACATTGGTTCCAACAATTTAATTTTCAGAGCTTTCCTGGTGTGATTTTGGTCTGCTCAGCTGACTTGGTGCCAGTGGATCACAAGTGGTCCCTCGTGGTACTGCCTGAAGTGAGCTGAGGTAGAAGAGGAGGCTTACCAGGCCTCTGCCTGCTGGAGCTCTTGGGTGAAGGAGAGAGCTCTCTTCCTTGTGAGTGGTCCCCTCTGCTAGCACTCCTGGCTCTCCCAGATATTTCAGTGGGCGAAGTCAGTGTATTTTCTACATTGTTACTTTATAACTGTACCTATTTAGGGGGGTATAATTCACATTTCAACACATGTATATCTTGGCCAAGTTAGGAAACTTAGCATATGATTACCTCACACATGGATCATTTATTTGTGGTGAGGACATTCAAAAACTCTCTGGCGGGTATTTTGGAAAACAGAACTTTTTGTTTCTTTTGTGTTAGTACTGGAACTTGAACCCAGGGCCTTGTGCTCTCACTCTGCTTCTTTGGTCACAGCTGGTGATTTACCACTTGAGGGCTACCTCCAGTCCTGAATCTTACTGGTTAATTGAAATGGAGCATGAAGGATTGGTCTGCTTGGGGTGGTGTGGGAGCACAATTCTGAGATGCTAGGATTAGAGGCGTGAGCAACTGATGGCTAGCTTTTGATATTGCATTATTACCTGTAGTCATACAACTATAATCAACACTATTTTCCAACTCAGGTAAATTATTTTTTGTCTGGGTTTTCTGGATAGTGGGACTGTACTTGTTCTGAACTCTCCAGAACAAGGAGTGTGTTCTCCACCTGTATAAGGTGACTTATACTGGTGGGCCCAGAAGGTGCTCTACTTGGTTTGTCTGCTGACACCGGGCTTTTTGTTAGGTTTGTTCATTTTAAAGTGTGAATGTTTTTAGTAAGATGTGACACTCTAGATGACTGGAAGGCCCTGAGGCCTGCTCATTTCCTTAGTCCTCAAATATTTAGTAGGTGTCAGAGACTGGGGATATATCATGAACAAACTAGCCAAAACAACAACAAAACCCCTGTGCACAAAGCACTCTAGGGTATGTTCTTATTGGTGCCTATCCAGTCTAACCCTCCTCCTCCCCACATGTGTATATGCATCTAAGCAATGTTGTGCTCTAAGGAAGGATGAGAGGATCTAGGATTGCATCAGTCATGTCAAAGGTTTGTACTGTCTTTTTTTTGGGGGGGGGGTCTGGTGGTGGGGCCTGAACTCTGTGCCTGTGCACTGTCCCTCAGCTCTTCAGCTCAAGGCTAGCGCTCTACTACTTGAGCCACAGCGCCACTTCCGGCTTTTTTCTTTTTTCTTATGTGGTGCTGAGGAATCGAACCCAGGGCCTCATGCATGCAAGGCAAGCACTCTACCACTGAGCCACCTTCCCAGGCCCTGTCTTTTTTTTTTTCTGCTGAAAATACTGTGGCAAATGGGAAGACAGCATGAACTAACTGCCAGTACGGTGGTTGAGTGGAAATATTTTAATGAGCAAAATGGCTGGGCAGGGCTGACCTTCAAGGCATATTTGAGAAATGCTGTTTGAAGATGTTCTCTGATGTTGGGAAGACACTTCAAAGGCTGGAAACTACTGACTGAAGGAGAGTAGAGAAAAACACCACATAGCTTCTTTGGACCAATGTGGACCAAAAGATGATGACCCAAGATGACTGGAAACCTTTATGCATAATTGTAAAACAAATAAGAAAAAACCCACCTGAGTTTAGGCTGCATAAAATCTCAGAATAGGCAAAGTCTCAAGTGAGTATTAGGAAGAACTATTTCACCTCATGGGTATTAGACATCATCCCATGCTGTTAGCAACTGGCTAAAATCCGATGCTGTATTACAGAAATTATCAGATTGGTTTCTGGAGGGAGTTGCCTCAGTGATTCTTCAGAGATTTGTTAAAGATACGCCTATGAAAAGCATCTCTAGCTACACATGCTCAGTGTCATGTCAGAAATCCTGTCTTGAGGTTGGGGGATGAGGCAGTGTCCAGGATTTAGAACAGAACAAGTGAACAGCATCCAAAATGGTGCATCACAGGGTGGCATCGCCATACAGCTTCCCTGCTTTCCCCCAAAGTGCTTTCCTTAGTTAAGCACTCCTGAAATATTCACAGATGAAGTCAGGTTTTAGATTCCAGTCATGCCTCCTTAGCTGAGGTCTTAGTTTCCATAGTTTCAGTTACCTACAGTCACTTGCAGTTGATATCATATATATCTATATATGGTATATATATATATGGTATATATGTATATGTACATATACATAGGTATGTGTATGCATGCATGTATGTATTTGGAAGCACCAGGATTGGCTTCAGGGCTTCAATTTACTAGTGTAAGAACAGTACTCTACCACCAGAGCCACCCATACATTTGACCCTGTTTTTGCTTCTCATATTTACCCAAGGCTGGTAGGATTTACCGAAGGCTAGCCTCAGATGGTGATTCTCCTTCCTAAAGTTTCCCACAAAGCTGGGATCATAAGTGTGACACCACTGTCTGGCTTACTGAAATGAAGTCTCAGTAACTTTTGCCTGGCTGGCCTTGAACTGCTATCTTTTCTGATCTCCACTTCCCATGTAGGCTGGGATTATAGTCAGCATACTGTTCCTGGACAGAGATTTCTTTTGTCTTTACTCTTTTAAGACAGAGACATCCAATTCACATAACTTTTACTATGGTGTACTATTATAGTTTTTCTATTTTATTACTGGTGTTATTTTTTACTGTGTCTAGTTTATAAAGTAAACACTATACCTGTGTATGTATACCTCAAACACAGTATGTATGGGATATTGAACCACCTGTAGGTTTAGGCATCCACTGAGGGTCTAAGAATGTATTTTTCATACACCTGAATGGTCCCTCCTTCCAGCGCCTCTTTCCCTCCTACTCACTCTGTTAACCACTGTCTTGCACCATTTTTGTGACATCATCTTTTTTATATTCTGCATGAGTGAGATCATGTAGAAATTGTCTTTCTGTACCTGGCTCATTTTACTTTATATAATCATTTCCAGCTGCACCCATAGTATTCCAAATGGAGGGATTTTGTACCTTTTGTGGCTGAATAGTATTCTACTACGTCCACGTTCCACATTTTTTTTGGGGGGGGGAGTCTGGTCGTGGGGCCTGAACTCTGGGCCTGGGTGCTATCCCTCAGCTCTTCAGCTCAAGGCTAGCACTCTACCACTTGAGCCACAGTGCCACTTCCACCTTTTTTTTTCCTGCTTATGTGGTGCTGAGGAATCGAACTCAGGGCCTCATGCATGCAAGGCAAGCGCTCTACCACTGAGCCACCTTCCCAGCCCATGTTCCACATTTTCTTTATCCATTCACCAGCTGAGGACACCATTCTTGACTATGTGAATAGGCGTACAGTGAATCTGAGTATAGACATCTCTTGGGTATACTGATTTCATTTCCTCTAAATACATACCTAGTAGAGAGATTGCTAGATTATAACGGTAGTTCCATTTTATTTATTTATTTAATTAATTTATGCCAGTCCTAGGCTTGAACTCAGGGCCCGAATGCTATTCCTCAGCCTCTTTGTGCTCAAGGCTACTGTTCTACCACTTGAGCCACAATGCCACTTCTGGCTTTTTCTGAGTAGTTGATTGGAAATAAGAGTCTTACAGACTTTCTACCTGGGCTGGCTTTGAACTTCGATCTTCAGCTTTCAGCCTCTTGAGTAGCTAGGATTATAAGTGTGAGCCATGGGCACTTGGCTCATTTTTTAAAATGTTTTGAGAAGCCTCCATACTGTTTCCCTCCATATGATTTTAAATTCCCACCACTAGTTTGCAAGGGTTGCCTTTCTTCCACATCTTATCAGCACTTCTTATCATTAGTCTTTCTGATATTAGCCATTTTTAGTATGGGGTAAGGTTGTATTTCATTGTGGTTTTGGTTCCTTGTTGGTTAGTAATATTGATATTCCCTCATTTTCAGGTATCTGTTGGCCATTTATATATCTTCTTCGGAGAAGTGTCTGTTTAAGTCTGTTTTTCATTTTAAAATAAAGATGTGTGTCTGTGTGTGTGCATGCATGTGTACGTGCACATGTGCCTTGAACTCAGGGCCTTGGTGCTGTCCCTTAGTGTTTTTGCTCAAGGCTGGTACTCTATTACTTGAGCCACGTCCTCACTCCCGACTCTTTGCTGGTTAATTAACTAGGACTTGCCTACCTAGGCTGGCTTTGAACCTCAGTCCTCAGATCTCATCCTCCTGAGTAGCTAGGAATACAGGAGCCACCAGCTCCTGGGGATTCTAAGTGTTTTGTTTTGTTTTTGACTGAGCCATATTGTTTGTAAGGCAGCATAAGGTGAAATGAGTCCCAACTTTGTGGCTTCCAGCGAAAGGAAGCAAGTATGTCACAGGTCACTTAGACACAGCTTCCTCCTTTGGTGGGGCTTCTAGGACCTGCTCTGCCTCATGCAGGCAGAGCAAATGAAAGTTGCAAAATCATCCATTAATTTGGGGGGATGAACACTGATGCTCCATGGCTGATGGTGCAGGCTGACATTCTTTTCTCTGTTTTTTTTTTTTTCCAGTACTTATATTCTTACCTGTGGCCACCCCTCCCCAGGCACTACGCAGAACTTACCTGATGAGCTCCACTGTTTCTGAGTACATGGTATAAGGAGACTTGGATTCCATGGGGCCTTGTTCCATTGCATTTCCACACTCAATAAACGACAGGGCGGCTTCAGCATAGTTCAACGCCTTCCCAAACTTTTCCACCTGAGAAGCACAATTAAACAGTGTCTTCCTTAATAATATAGTTTTAGCAGCACTGCCACACAGTTCATACACTTTATTTCAGGCACCCAACTTTTGAGTTTCAAAATTCTATGAACAAAGTGGAGAGAAGAAAGAAATAGACACAGTCTCTCTCCCTAGCCACAATTCTGCTTCTCTATGGACAACCATAGTACACAAATAATAAATAAAAAGGTGTAGAAATAAGTAATTCAAAAAGTTTAAATACATTTTATTATGGATTCCTGTTGTAATTGTTCTGCTTCATTATTGCTATTTCTTATTTGTCTAGTTTGTAAGTTAAACTTTATCAAGGATATGGATGTAAAAGAAAAAAAAGCACAATATGTGAAAGGGGTTGGTACTATGTGCGATAGGCATCTATGGGACATTTCTCCCTCAGATAAAGGTGGGTTACTGCAATTCCTTTTCCGGTTATTTTCTCAAATTACTACTAGCTTGGGGCAAGTGAGCAAACAGCTTCATGCAGAATGGCGCAAAACCAGGTAATGACTGTCTGCTGGGCTCAGAGCTTCATGGTCACTTTAGTGTCTGCAATCATTGTAATGGTTTAGAAACTTTACTCCTTGACTCTCCAGTCTGTGCTAAATACAGGAAACAGTTAACTTAAGGCCTGGGTATCATCTTCTACATTTTCTAAGACATTTACATCTCTGCATCTCCTTCTTCACAAGTGTTTCTTCATTAACAGTTTGGACCTCATTCAAGAGTGAGAAAAGGAAGGAGAGATGATAAAACTCAAGGGTTTGCTTTACTTCAAATAAGACACAAAGTTGAAAAATCAATGATGAAAATGGTATTTTTTTTTTTTTTTGCCAGACCTGGGGCTTAAACTCATGGCCTGGGCATTGTCCCTGAGATTCTTTTGTTCAACTTAGCAAAACTGAGGCACTTGAGCCATAATGTCACTTCTGGCTTTTTCTGTTTATGTGGTACTGAGGAATCCAACCCAGGGCTTCATGCATGCTAAGCAAGCACTCTACCACCAAGCCACATTCCCAGCCCAGTCCATATTTTTGTATGTGTGTGTACTTAACTCAGGGCTTGAGTGTTGTGCCTGAGCTGTTTTGCTTGAGGCTGTCTGTCACTATGACACTTGAACCACAGTTCCACTTCTGGCCTTTGGGTGGTTAATTGGAAATAAGAGTCTTATATACTTTCCTGCCCAAGTTGGCTCTGAACTGCAGTATTCCAATCTCAAACTCCTGAATAGCTAAGAAAATAGATGTGAGCCACTGGTACCCAGCAAAAGTGGTACTTTAAAATTCTCTAGTCATCTAAATTTATGTTTATTTTCCCCTCACATCATCAAAGACAATCATAAAACAACTTTATATTCTTAAATTCTCATAGATTCAACCTGGTTTCATACATTGCTACTCTATGTAGATAATTACATCTTCTCAACTTGGGTAGCAAAATGATTCACTCATTAGGAAAAAAAAAGACATAGATAATCTAAATACTACTCTCTAAACCTTGGCATTATAAAGTAAACAAATGATACCTTAGAGGACAGAAATATAGAACTCTTCTTAGCAAGTCAAATTTTAAAAAGCTTATAAATCAAATAGAGTATAAAGAAATAATTTTAGCAACACTTTCAGATTAAGGAAAACATTTCATTCAAAATTATTTTTTAGCTGGGTGCCAGTGGTTTGTGCCTGTAATCCTATCTACTCAGGAGGCTGAGATTGGAGGATCACAGTTCAAAGCCATCCCATGAGACTCTTACCTCCAATAAATCACAGAAAAAGCCAGAAGTAGAGCTGTGGCTCAAGTGGTAGAGTGCTAGCCTTGAACAAAAGTCGTTTGGGGACAGTGCCTGGGCTCAGAGTTCAAGCCCCCAAACTGACAAAAAACGAAAACAAAAACAAAAAAACAAAAAACAAGAAAAAAGAGCCCATATTTTTAAGAACACTCAATACTGAGGCATTTGCAATTGAAACCCAAGAGTTCCTTCTAGATACACAGGAGAGTACATTTGGAGAGAGAAAAATGTATACTCACAAAAGAGTTCAGTATGTAAGGCAGTTTGTGAAGAACTAAAATGCTAAATGAGGAGTCTGATGCAAATGAGATGCAAAGAAGGAAACAATTCGTGGGGCTACAGGGAGGGAGACCAAGGAAGAAATGGTATGATCCGGCAGGATTTGAGGTCACCCAGAGGGAGTGTGTGTGTGTGTGTGTGTGTGTGTGCGTGTGTGTGTGTGTGTGTGTGTGTGAGCTAGAAGCTCTGCAGGTGCACACTGCTGGCTGACATGAGCTAAGTGTGCTCAGAGGCTGGTGGGAATCTGTGACTGGAGCAGTGTCTCCCTCTTGGGAAATTAATGGATAGATAAGAGTGGTAGGGTGGAACAAGATGATAATGAATGGATTAAGAGAAGGAAACCTTGGAAGATGAATTTGAGAAGAAAATCTCATTCTGTTTTTAAAACTTTTTAAAATTGGTATTATATTATTAAAGGTGATATGCAGAGCTCATTCTGCTTTAAAATTGTATGTTTTTCCTCATTTGTGGCCACCTCTCAGTGTTTTTTTCAGATAACCTAAATTTCCATCAGACTCTGGGACTGTAGCCACTACTGTCCCTTCCATTATCTTCTTTCTGTTCTAATACTCAGTGACTATTTTCTTCGTTTATTTATTTATTTATGGGTCCAGTCATGGGCCTGACTTCTGGGCCTGGGTGCTGTCCCTCAGCTCTTCAGCTCAAGACTAGTGCTCTACCACTTGAGCCACAGCGCTACTTCTGGATGTTTTTTCTTTTTGCTTATGTGGTGCTGAGGAATCGAACCCAGGGCCTCAGGCATGCAAGGCAAGCGCTCTACCACTGAGCTACCTTCACAGCCCAGTGACTATTTTCTTATAAGATGGTACTCCAGTGTACCTTGACAGTGAACTTCATGACTTCATAGAAATAAATGATGGCTAACAACAATAGCAGTGGAGATGAGGACTGTTAGGGCTCATGTATTTTCACCAGGAATAAAATCCTGGAAGTCATTTGATATGCTGCCTTCAGTTCCAGCCTCTAACTAATGTCAGTTTTGAACACTGGTTATAGGGAGGGATAAAACTGGAATTACCAGATTGGAATACCCTTTTGGATGAGATCTTAGAATGGAGAAATCTCGTGACCTCTTTTTAAAAAAATCAGAAATTTTATATTTCTTGCCTGAAAGCTTTAAACTGCCCTAAATAGGAGGTTATCCAAGTAAGAAAAGTTATTCCTTGAAAACATCAAATCATGATGCCTTTAAGGTTTTACGAGTAGATAATAGTTTCTGTGTTGTACACTTTAGGGAAATATTCACTTTGGCAGATACACATGAAAAAAAGAATCTTTTCTAAAATGGGATTTGATTTTGGAACCAAGCCAAGGGTTGGTCAGGCTAGCGAGAGAAAAATCTAGATTTTTTTTTTCTTTTAAAGGAATAAAAAACCTACCACCCACTCACAACTTTGGCTCTAGTTACAATTCAAGTCTTAGGATTAAATTGAAATGTTCATCTGTCTTGGATCCCAGTCAGACATTATTGGTTGAAGTCATAATTTATTCAACTATGAGCCCTTGATTATATAAACATTTCTCCATTTAACAGGCCCAGCCATCCTTGTAATAGATTTTATAATTACCCCAACTATATTGCCCCAGTGATGAAGCTACCGCACAAACATAATTTGGATGAACGTATCTCACCATTGCATCCGCTTTATGCTTCATCCGTTTAGCTTCCTGCATAAAATAATCTGCACTGCGTGGCCTACAAGGAGAGAATATTAAATGCCATTATTGCTTAAGTGAAACAACTCTTGAAAATATACTTTTCTTTCACTCCAACATAAAACACAATTAAAAAATACACTCTGCTTAACCTGGCATCAAGTCATTTTTTTCCGCACTTCCAAATTACTGTCTATATGTGAGATACTATGATTATTTTTCTCTTAAATTAGCAATTTAAAACCCATACAATATATGCAGATACTCTACATTCACAGTGGCTTGGACATGGTTCCCCAGTGCTTAATTTGTGAATAGGGCTTTTTATTGTATAATTTAAAAAGTGAAATTTTTTATTTCAGACATTTTACACAAAATGATTCCCTTTTAATGTAAGGATTGCAAGTGTATCTTGTAACAGACATGTGTGCACAGAATGTGCGGGGGAGAGTATTTATGCATCCTTATGAAGAGAAGTGGCTTTTCTACCTATACATGGTACCTATGTGGCAATTGTATTTATTTATCTAAAAAACCTTACAGTGAAAGATGGAAGAATGGAACGCTATACAATTATGTTCCAGTTGTAATGAAGTTAATTGTAAAATGATGTCTACTTTGTAACAATGCAAACATGCATGTATCCTCTGGAGTGCTGATTAGCTAGCTGGTAAACATTAACAGCAGACAAATGCATTATTAAAGCAATAACCCTGGCCGACATGGATTCTTCCAGGAGATGAAAGTAATTCATCCTGAGACTGATTCAAGTGTATATAATGATCCCAAGTTACACTATTAAACTACTCAACAAACAGTATATTTAAATGCTTAGTTAGCAGATAAAGTCTTCTCTGTGTATATGTTGGTCCTGAGGCTTGAACTCAGGGCCTAGGCACTGTCTGTCCCAGAGCTTTTCTGCTCAAGATTGTCACTCTACCACTTGATCCATTGCTCCACTTCTAGCTTTTTGGTGATTATTTTGAGATTAAGAGTCTCCCCGACTTTTCCCACTTGGGCTAATCTAATCTTTAGATTAGATCTGAGATCTTTAGATGTTTAATTTATGCAATATTTATATCCTTTTGGTGTCTTCAACACGAAGGTTTTTGTATTATGGGTCTTTATGTGATCAATGAAGTTAGCTATTTATGAATACCAAATCTGAGCCTGGAATTCTTAACTTGGGAGACAGAATGCAAGCAATGATCTTAAGAAACAGATCGTTGAACCTAATGTGATAAGCTTCTTTTAAACTGTCTTATTTCAGGTTATTAAAAGGTCTTTTACCTTACTATAACAATAGGTAGTCAGAGCATCCTTTTTGTAAAGCGGTTAAAATTCTTAGAAAAACAAGGCATATTTTGACAATAAATATTGCTTATTTAAAGTATCACATTTAATCAATCAAGTAAATCAGCAGCTTAGAGCAAATAATTAGTTTGGGGTCAAAACTTGCTAAAGCAAGGAAATAGTGTAGTTTTTGGTCTTTTAATTTTCTATAAAATATTGTTGATAGTGTGGCAACATGCTGGGACTGTTTAACTCCAGCAAAGAAGAGACAATGCAGCTGTAGGATTTTCTTAATGTGTACAAACTTCCTTCACCATTCTTGTTCCTATTCAGGCCTGAGCTCCCTCTTTTTTTTTTTTTTTGCCAGTCCTGGGGCTTGAGATCAGGGCCTGGGCACTGTCTCTGAGCTTCTTTTGCTCAAGGCTAGCACTCTACCATTCTAGCCACAGCGCCACTTCTGGCCTCTTCTGTTTATATGGTACTGAGGAATCAAGCCCAGGGATTCATGCATGATAGGTAAGCACTCTACCACTAAGCCACATTCCTAGGTCCTCTTCTCTCCCTCTTGAGGGGCCTCTCATTGGTGGCTGAGGCTGCAGGTTTCCTTTACATAAAGTCCCTGTTCCAAACAGCACCTCTTTTTCCAGTTCATCTCCTTCACATCTACACTTCTCCATTTAAACAGACTTTTAGTTGTCTTAAAGGGGGTAGATTTTACTTCTTTGTTTACACAATGACTTGTTCACATATTGATTGTTCAGTCTTTGATTCCAATTCTTTCAATTTCATTTTTTTTTGCTGTTACTGTTGGTTTGCTTCTGCTTTTGAATAAGCTTTGTTATTTTTTCAGAGCACATTTAGGTTCACAGCAAAACTGAGCAGAAAGTACACTATTCCCATGTACCCTCTGCCACACATGGGCAGCCTCCCCCACTATCAATGTACTGAACTGGAGTGGTACATGTTAGAAATGATGATGCTACACTCACAATCATTATCTCCCGGAGGCCAGAGTTTAGTGCTTACTCTTGGCATTTTGTATCCTATGGACAAATGTACAATGGCACACATCCACTATTATAGTAGTATAAAGAATAGTTTTACTACCCTGAAAAATCTCTATATTTAGAGTTTATTTGTCTGTGGGCTTAATATCACCATGGAGAAGACCAGATTTCTACCCCTAGCCAAGAATAGACTCCTCATTGTCAGTGGTGTCCCAGAGCCTATTTATTATCTAGAAGAGTTCAAATATCTTCATTCACTTCTCCCTTGTTACCAAATGCTTTCTGTACTCATTCTTCTCTTTTCTTGAAGAACTTTTCTATCACCCAAGTTGGCTTTCATCATTTCTGTGGTTTTGGGGCCTCTTAGTTTGATTCCTCTGCAATCTATCCTGAGCTTTACCCCTTGAATAATGTTTGTAAAGCACTGCTTTCATTATGGGACCATCTTGCTTGCAGATCTATGATCCCCATGGCTTTTGAAGTCAAATCTCAGTTCAGGTCCCCAGTAATCTTGCCTAACCCTCTTAATCATATCACTTATTCACCAAGGTCCCTTGGTGAAAGTCTTGACTAGTTTCCTCAGTGTGTTCATGAGATGACATCCTTGTTTTAGAAACTCTTACATCCTTTCTCCTACTTGTAACAGTCTGTTGTTTACTCATTCAGTGCTTACTGCATGCCTACCATGAGCCAAATGTTACTACCCTTCAAATTCTACCATCACCAGGCACATCCCAGTAGCTTTGGTCTATGCTCATGTCTGTCTTTCTGACCTCACATAGCACCTTTTGTTTACATTCCACTGCTAGGCATTTCATTTCTGTCTTGCTTGACTAGGTTAGAGTCATTGTAACAAGATAACTGGCACATTTTCATCAGGGACCATGCTGTTGGCCTCTTTTGTCTTCACCATTTGGCAGTTTTAGGCACAGGATAGAAGGTGCACAAGCCCTCTCTGAATGGGACTGAATTTGCTCTGAGTTTAGGAAATAGGAGTAGTTTCTAATGGGTACAGCATCGCAACCAATGAGGCACAGAGCATCTCCATGACAACCTGAAATTCTCCACATCATTATCTGCGCCACACTCTAGTATATAAGTTAGGTCATTTTCTTAGTGTCTTGTTTCGTAGACCTGGTCACTAGCAGTCATTTTAAATGCATATTGTTCCCATGCAGATATTCTCTGGGTAATAAGCTATAACAGCTTAGTTTTCATGGGTCTTCTGAGTTACTCTTGTAGATGGCAGTGGCTCACAGTCTCTAATATGGGTTCTTTAATCAGTGCTGATTTCATCTGTAGCATACTAATGCACTTTTTAAAACCCGATATGTTCGCTGAATCACAGACTCACAGTAGTACATGTAGATAAGTAACACATGTAATTTTCTGACTCTATTCTGGCAGCTACAATAGAAACTACCATGCTGAAAGAAAACCATACCATCTGGGGGCCATTTATGAACACATTTGTAAGAATTCTCATTTTGCATATAATGGAGGGCTCACTATACTGAGCACTGAAGATTGCCAGAAGATTGGCCTATTTTCTCTTTTCAGGTGATTTCTAGTGGCCTACTCCTAAATCAGACCATTACAAAGCCACTGGGACCAATGGGACATCACCCAGATTGTTTGGGATGGTTTGGATGTATGTCAGCCTGAAGGCATCACTTTCCACAGCATTCTACAAGTCAGTTGGAAAAGTGAAACTTCTGTCACTATTGTGGCAGTTACAGAATATAACAAAGATACTAAAATAAAATCTACTTGTCCCAGTGTTTAAAAAGATTTTTTCCCATCTAATCTTTTATACTTTTATGTGGAAAATCTAGAGTTTTTCTTTTCTATGTATGCAATAAAATTATTCACATTGCTTCTCACAGTGATGGTATTTTATGATGAGGCATGAAGAATCCTAATAAAAGTGCAATTAAAATTTGTAAATGTAACTGTGTATCCTGTTCTCTTCAGAAACAGGGCTTGAGACATCTGAAAGCCAGGATGTAACCACATGGTATTTTTGTTACAAGAGCTCTCTCTGACAAAAGGGATCTGAGGACTCGATCCAAAAAGGACATTTTCTTTTCTTCTCCTTACCCTCCCACTACTACCACCTACAAACACACAGTCCTAGTTATGAGCCACAACAGGATATGAGTGACCCCATATTTCTTCTGGCACAGGGGTATTGAAGCAACTTTGCTTCTTGTTCTCCTAGGGGCTGAGAGAGAGTTGAATGGTCTCCCACAGAGAGGCTGGCATACTCCTTTCTGTAATTCCTGCCTCTGTGAAAGGCCGCCCCTCAGCAGAGCCAGACTGCTTTGTGCAAACTGGCAGGGATGAGAGCTCAATGTGTTTGAACAAACAGGTTCCTCAGCACAGCAGAGATCTGGATGGTTTTTCTTAGAGAAGCCGAAATCCGAATCAGACAAAGGCAACACAACACCAAATAAATTTATCATCTGACACCCGACACCTGGGCTTGACATTTCATGCACCTCTAAGGTATATTGTCATGTCCTATGCCTCAGGGTACTTTCTCCAGAATGTGAATGTGTAAGAGTGAAATAATTCTTTCAAAACACGGACTATGCATGCTGGGCAACTGCTGCACTACTGAGCTCATCCTCAGCTCCCAAGTGATCACTATGATGGGACATTTTGGAGTCAGAGGCCAGGAGTGCTGTTGTGGGCAGTCTGGGCTCTTCCTCACGAATGGATGCAGGTTAACTGTATT